AAGTAAAGTAAGAAGTGTATTGCATGCAAATTGCATTTCCATAGCATGCTTGGTGCATTCCCAACCTTTTGTCAAGAGAAAAATAATCAAGACGTCATCCTTGACTAGCAGATGAAACAGGACACAGATTGCTATCAGATGAAGCAGCTCCTCTGACAGGTACAGGACTAGACTGATCTGACAGATGTGTAAGATTTCTAGTTAGCAGAAACACTTAAGTCATCATTTTCAAGAGAATGGTGACATGAGAAATTACATCACCAAATACCTAATTTGAGTGATAAGTTTTGTGTCTCCTGAGCTTACAGATTTCACCTTCAACTTCAGAAGGCAGCTGATGAGGACTGTTAACTATATCCCACTGGGTTCTAAAGAGATTGCATTGCCAAAAGAAGGAAATCGCCTCTTTTCTGTGATCAGCCTCTGTCAGAGTGGGAAATTCCTGCTACTGGTTCAGAAATCACAGGCAGGGAAAAACAGGGTTCAGATGTTCAGATGACAGTCCACTTCATACAGACACAGGTTAGATAAGAAAACTCTCTTGTCCACAGGCTTAGCTGTAACCATTTCCCAAAAGCTCAGGGGAAAGGAGGTGAAAAACGTTCTGGGGAAAGAGCAGGTCTCTCAAATGATTCATTAAGAAGCTTGCTTATACCTTATACCTTGAAGAGCGGAGATACAACTGGGTGTCACAACTGAACACATTAACAACTGAAAAAAAACAGATAACTTTGAGCCACCTGTGTATCACTATGATGGAGGAGGGACTTGCTATTTGACACCATTTTCTGTTCCTGCCTGCCATTTTGGCTTCCCCACTGAGATGAAATAAAAAATATCTCTTAACATCCGTGCTAGTTTTTCAACTTCTTCCAGAGTCATCCCCAGTCAATTCAGTTCCACTGAGATACTATTCTAACTAGCGATGAGGAAAATCCATGCTCTTAGTTACTCTAGCTGGGAAGACTGAAGCACAAGCTTCCTATGCAGATACCACTGGACAGCAAATTTATATGAACAAGTGTGAGAAGTGTTTACATAGCCATGGCAGAGTGCACATCACAAGTACTCTGACAAATGAAAGTCTCTGAAATAGAGAGAGCACTGGTAACGTTGGAATGAATGTTGCAAATAAATCCACTACAGAAACTATCTCTAATTGAATTATTAATGAAAGAGGAAGAAGGGAATCAGAATATGACTGACTAACATAATAAGAGACAGAGGTTTCCATCAGTCCCTTTCCTATCAAGAAGAATTACCGACCATGTCAGAGAAAATTAAAAAATTCAATTTACAGTAGTTTTCCCCACAGTGAAATCAGAGGCAGGTGCTGGATATAACAGACAATACCGGTCAAACTGTTTCTTTCTGCACAGCACTCAGTAAACAGTCGCCACTATTGAGTTCTAACCTCTTGTCATGCAGCAACATTGAGTCAACAATCCGCTCTCATGGCTTAATGCTTTTGATGTTTACTTTGTTCTTTCTATAGTTCAAAAGAAAGCACTAATGCACCAGTCCTCTTACCAAATACAATCTTAATCCCAGAATCCCGAGCCTTTTGCTGTTGGCCAGTTAAGTCTGTTAAGACGAAAGGATTTGATCAAGCTTTACATAACAACACAGAAGTTAAATCCAGCAAAGAGAGCTCTTTTTATCTGTACTGCTCAGACGGCTAAGAGATGAAAAAAAGAGAGGGAGAAAAAAAAGGTAATGAACTTGGCTATGTAAAACAAAATAAGGAATTCAATTATTTCTCTTATTGCCACTTTGTCTTTTCAGTGAGTCTTCTAAAGAACTTGGATTTATTCTCCAATAAGGTCTCCAAGTGTGAAGGCTACAGCTTTCCCTTCACCCAGAAGAACTGTGGCACCTGCTGTGCTTTTTTTTGCAAATCTGCAAAATGTTTCTTTTTCATCAGCAGTTTTCCTGATTTAAAACATAAATAATTTAAAAATACATATAAAGTAAGCATTGTAGGTCAAAACACTATGAGAAGAGGAAAATGATTTTGTACTTGGGAAACAGATGGACAGCTTAGAGGAAAGGTGGGACATCAATCATTTCGAGTAATTAATACTATATAATACTTCTAATGTGAAATCTTTATTTTTTTTTCCCCTTAAACTAATTGTCCCCATCAAATTTTTATTTTTTTCCCCTTAAACTAATTGTCCCCATCCCTACTGTGTATTTATGAAGGCAGAACACAGTGCAGTGATGATATGTGGTAGAGCTGGGATCAAGACTTTGTTTTTCCACTCGTGTCCTTTGTGAGAGTTGCCCAATTAGCCATTTCTCAGCGTGTCACATCTCCCTGTCTCTGAAGCTAGTTACCAAATCTTTTGGATTACATGAATACATAGATACAAAACATGTTGCACCTGTACATATGTAAAGATTGTGATGTCAGCTACTTCATAAGAAATGAGGTGCATCAGAAGTAAAAATGCAAAACTGCTCTTGCTGGTATTAAGCTGGAAAGCCTAAAAATAAATCTAATAAAAACAGTCCTGTTGCTGACTAGTTTAAAAATATTGTTTACTGTATATTCTGACTGCTAAGCAAGACAGTTCTTCACAACAACTAAGAAATAATTAGAGGTAAGCAAAAGAAAGAATAAGACAGAAAAAAAATCAAGTTATTCACCTTGTTGGCACTTAATATCCTGTATCAAGTAGCTGCTACTATAATTCTGAAAATTAGTAAGCCACCCTTTACTACAGTTACATCCTACTACAAGCAGAAGAGAAAACTGTAGTGATGCTAATAATGAAACATTTTGTTGTGGTTTAACCCAGCAGGTGGATCAGCACCACCCAGTCATTCGCTCACTCCCCCTCCTTCCCAGTGGGATGAAGGAGAAAATAAATAAAAAATCCAAACAAGTAGAACTCCTGGGTTGAGATAAAACTACTTGCTAAGACAGATAAAGGGAAAAGAAAACAGTTACGACTATATATATATATATATATACACACATATGCATGTATATAAGAAGTGATGCAGAAGCAATTGCTCACCACCCCCAACCAATGTCCAGCTAGTTCCCCAAGAAGCAGAAGATAGACATTCATAACATGGACAATCTTTCAAAATCTATTTCAGCGTCCTGCCTGCACCTCCATTTTCTTGTTTCTCCACATTCTGAAGTCACAGACGTGTTTTATCTGGTGTGCACAACATATCCTGAATACATACAAACACTTAATGATCTTAGCTGCAATGTAGATGATGCAGACACAATGCCTTATTCCACTGAAACCTATTTTTCTGTTCAACGTGAAAAACTACTTTTGCAATGGCTGGTGATCAAAATGAGTTTCCTTCTGGCAGCTCTTTAGGCTTTTTCAGCTCAGTCTCAGCAGCCCCCAAAGAATGACATTACACCACTATTACCTTAAAAGCACTGCCATTTTGCGTCCTTTTTTGATCACAGATAAGAGCAATGTTTTTTGATCACTGGTAAGCAATTTAGAGCAATTGCTTAAGATCTCTTTGCTATGAATCAATCAGTAGTCTCTGGAAGGAACATGATAGCAGAATATTATGGAGAAGGATGCTCCAAAAACCACTCACTTATAGTCAGAGAAGGAAGCAAAAGGCAACTAATGACACAAGCTGATCACTCAAAGGAAATACAGGGAAGATGTCACTAACTTAGTACATAATAAAAACAGTAGTAACAATGAATATGAATATCTTTTGACATGAAAGAAGTGTTTTTGGTATCTGCAGTTTCACCAATAGAAACAACCCCACTTATGTTGTAGAAGCAGGGTACGACTACTAGGCTATCAAAAATACATAATCTCTGTTGTGATTTGAGCTTAAATTTACAACTTGATTCTGGCAATTGGATTTTGCTGCTACACAAAAGAGGGAGGACCCAACCTAACATCCATACTTTGTAAGCATATTCAGTGCAGCAAATTCTTCCTCAGTTATGAACAATCTGATGCTGCTAAAGAATACGCAGCACATAATTACACACAAAGTATTCCTGACCTCTCTAAGCACTACCTCCATCCTCCTTTTATTTAGAGTAATTTATGATCTTAACAATTTAAAATTCAAATCAAAATAAAACAATTTTGTTACAACCCCAGTCATCTTTTCAACAGAAGTGTCGACCACTGGGAGCAAACAACTTGATTACAAAAGGAGTGCACTTTCCAAGTAAAGCTTGACATAGTTTGCTGCTCCAAATGAGTTAGGCAAATTGTTTCCACTAACCTATAGTAAAAATTTAGCACACAGCCTGTGCAACTACTTGTTATGCTAGAGAGAGTAACTCAGTTTCTGTCAACTCATTTCATTGTTTGTTGGGAAGAATGATTAACAATGTCATCAAACTAATCTCATCCATTCATCAATCCCCAGTTGTCTAACAGAAGCTCAACTGGTGTGCTCAGCAGTGTGTTCTGACCTTACTGAAGGCCCTGCCCACTCAAACAGTGATTCTATCCCATTGCGAGGAGAGGCCTAGTCACAGTGGAATAGATGAGATGAGACTTGGAAACCAGAAATTATCTCAAGCAGTGATGACTCCATTCATATTCAAGAGAAGCGTATTGTGTAAGAGTTTCTGATCTTTCATAAATTAATGCAATAGTTTCCAAACTTGCCTTATGCACCACAGAAGGGGGAGCAGCATAGCACAAAACTAAATGCAAACATTTCCAGTAATCACATTCACCACTTCTGCTGGATACAGTAATATTTACCACTGCTATGCTTCCAATGGAAGTACTGGACAAAAATGTTGAGCTCCTTATATTTGGTCTCTATTATATAACTGGTTGACTTTTTTGATAACAGGAGCACAGTGATATGAAATACAGAAATAATACCCTACTCCCATCACATCAGTTTTGCCCAGAAAATGAAACATATTAAGAGCTGCACTGTTATATATGCATTCCTATACTGGACGTGTTCGTTGACTTATTCCAATATCCCTTAATATTAACCACAAAGTTTTGTTCTTTAAATACCTTCTAGATGAAAGTGCTCATCACCAATAGAGTCTCTGTAGCCTTCTCCAGACAAATCCTGTTAAAAAAAGATAAGAAAAATTAATGACGAGTATATGACATAAAAGGTATCAAGAAGATACACTAGGATTAATTAAAAACACTAAATGCATTAATTAATACATTAATGAGCATTAATGTCAATTTCCAGAAAAGAAGTCAATGCATCTGGTGCTATTTTAGAATGTTCTGGGCATATTCTAAGACAAAAATTGAATGCAGATAAACAGATTATGTTCATATACAAGTCCTTTTACAGAATACTTTAATACTTAGCATTTCAACATTCTGTCAATCAAGCAAGATAAAAAACAACTCTGAATGGAAATGATAAAGGAGAAATAAGCCCTTCACTACCCACAGAGGAATGTTATCACTTGGTTCCACCAACAGAAAACTTTCATGTGCCAGAGATCACCCAAGAAAAGCAGATACCAGAGTCTGAAGAGCTGCCTGATACTTCTGTCCTGAAATTAATGAAATTTTATCAGCCCCAGTATATCTAGTGGAACACAGAAGCAGCGGTCACGGATACTCAGATGATTTTATCTCAAACACAAAAAACAGTCCTCTAATGGTGCTGAAGTTGTAATAAATGGGCATCAGTTGGATTTGGAGCAAATCCCACTTATAAAGATCCTGAAGAGCATTCTTACGCTCCTATTAGCAGATCATTCCAGCTCCATCTCTCCACACCAGCTAAGCCGTAAGCTATCACAGCTAGCCTTCTATTTTGCCTTCTTCCATTCATTCCAAACACTCCAAGCATTACCATAACGTCACTGATCTTACATTACAGTCCGTCTCCTTAGATTTTCTACAAACACTCTGTGCCACTGATAAATATTTATGGTGATGAACAAGGATATGGCCTTGAAAAGTTCAAGTGCTGCACTCACAGCTATTTCAACTTCACCTACAAAAACGTATCAGGAACACAGAGCCAGCATTCTCAGCATTAACCTGGGGACTGTGAGTAGACACTAGGGAGCTTTTGGCACAAGGCAAGAATAAGAGAAAAAACTGTGAAAATGAATGCCTGGTTGTGTTCATAGCTTTATCACGATGAACGCAGTTCATCTCTTTTTCCCAAGAAGCTGACAGAGGTTCTTTTCTAACTTGCACATGCCTAAATGTTATTCTTTGAGATTAGTTATCCAAAAGTAACTCAGCCACAAAAGCATGTCTTAGGAACTCTTCAGCGTCAGTTGAAGCATTCTAAAAATCAAATTCCATAAACAGTGAGATTTGATTGGGGGTTAGCTAGCGCAGAAACCCTGAAAATATTGCTCTCTTCACGAGCGGATACGCTGGCATTTGACCCAAAGATAAATTTGACAGCATTAGGAAATGCTGTCGACCTGGTACAGCATGCTGGGATTTAGCATAGCATGACACTGCTACAACAGCTGTCAGAAGCAAATCACAAAAGCTATTTTGTTTATTTGAGTTTTTCTTCTAGAAGAAAAGGCCCCTTATGAACAAGTGCTAATTAATATCTATCACCGATTTAAAAATAATGGAAGAAATGGACATAATGAACAAAAAAAGCCAGGAAATGTTGGCGTAGCACATCATGTTTCTGCAAGGAAGATGGTCTTTCCAGAAACTTGCAATAGTTATTATACTTTTGTTTAGTAAAATTCCTCCATGTCATCATTTTCCAGGAAGCTCTCAGAGCACAGCCTGATTGCTCTCCCAGACAATGAGATACATACAAGTGACTGCAGGAGCACACATGGCCCTCCTGCTCTGTCCCACAATGGCAAGTATTTAATAACTGCTTTTTTATTGAAGACAGAATTCCTGCTCCCTCCGTCTGGTTCTCTTGGGAAAATATTTCTGATTTTCTGATCAGCAACTATGCAACAAAAAGGTATGACCTTAATGGTGATGCTTCTCTAAGGAGAAAGCTATTTGGTAGTTATCTTCTTTTAATGTTTTAACAAAGCAAACGGTGCATGTGGTTATCAAATGTTGCCTGCCGAAATGCTGTCATTAATTCAACCTCTACAAAAATCACAAGTCATTACTTTTTATGATTTTTTCAAAAGATGCCACTTACAAATTAGCATGTATTTGTTGATGGAAAAGGTCTCATCAAGTAACTAGTGCAGATGAGTGGCGATGAAGGAGAGAAGCAATAAAGCATTAATATTCTACATGCAAGCTTCCTTAGTTTCTCACTGTTAATCATTACATGGTTAATCATTACAGTATGTTTCATATTCTAGGCTAGTTTCACTCGTTCTCTAGCTCCTAGTTATTTAAGTCAAAGAGTAGTAACTTAATGCAAGCAAATTTCCAATAAAATAGGTTCCCTTAAATCAAATTATTATAAATCACCGAATTCTAGTGTTTTGATGATGATGTTGAACCACAGCATTACTGTTAAACAGCACAGACACAGACAACCCATCCCAAAATCAATGAGTGTATCATTTGAACGTTTTGGTGACTTATTTCATAGAAACGTAGAATGGACTGGGTTGGAAGAGACCTCAAGGATCATCAAATTCCAAACCCTTGCAACAGGTAGGGCTGTATTTAAGCAAAATTCCTCAACTCCCACTCACATGTGTTCTGTGAGAGTACGATTGTGATCTGTGCTGCCGTTAATAAGCAGGTGAGAAAGGTGTGGGCAACTCTTACAATTCTACAGGACGGGAAAATTAAAAGAAAGAAAGAAACCTTATCACTCATCTTATTACCACCAACTCTTCTTTTGAAAAGCCCAGAAGAACAACCAGGATGTCTTTAGCACTACTGAGACACGTGTCACAGGCTGATAAACACCAAAACAAACCTGCTTGAGAAAAGGATTCTGGGTGGTTTATGTAAACTCACATTCAAAAATAAAGTACAAAAGCTAAGCTAGTATCAGAGAAAACAATTCTGACTGCAGCTGGTACTGTAGAAGTATTCTCCCAGTAACCTGCAACAATTCCGTTAATGTGAATAAAACAGTGCATCTACCACTAGTCTAATTCAGAAAGTGAAGGGGAACAATAGGACAGGGTAAATGTGTAAAACAACTCACAGCTCAATAAATTCTAGTGGGAAGAGAACATTATATGTCCAGGAAGAAGCGTGGCTGAGCACGGGGAAAGGCAGGAGTGACAGGACAAAGCCACCTGTGCCAGCCCTGCCTCCTGCAGCCATGCCCAAGGGCTCCCCACAAGCTGCAGAGCTGCGGGAGCCATCCCATGGCAGGAGCAGTGCTGGGGAGAGCAAGGCAATGGCATCTGGGTCATAGGTAGCTGTACGTCACTGTCCTGACACCATGTTTTAAATCACAACGCTGCATTTTCAAACTGGAACACTGAGTCATGTAGCAACCAAAACCAGATGTACCCTGTGAAATACTATATAAGTGAGGTCAGCGAGAACTTGAAAGAAGAAAGAGAAAAAACATTTACGTAGGATTATTTCAGCATGCCACTTCTAGAGGCTGCTAAACAGGAACCCACTGAGAGTAAGCGTCTCTACCTCACCAGGAGCTTCTCTGCTAAAGAAGTTGGCCTCCGCTAGCTACCAACACAAATCACACAAAATGACTGAAATTCAGTTCTAACATCTGTTTCAAAGCTATGCAGGCAGCTGCCCAGCCCGGATGAAAAGGTCCTCATGTCCCACATGTCCTGATCTGATCGGTGCTGCTGTGCAGGGCTCAGATTGAAGAGGGTGGGGGAAGCGTTAACTAGTGCAACTCCCTCAGAAATGCTGAGCAGCATATTTGTACCCAAGGAATACAAACACTCATGGGAAGCTCCCACATCCCAGTGCTCCCACTCAGCTGGTTACAAGTCAGGCAGTTGTCATTCATATCCTACCTTTACTGAGCAATCAGACTCAATGAATTCTGACTCACTGGGAATTTTATCTTTTTAATCCTATCCTCAGCCCTGACCACCGCACACAGCATTTTCATCAACATGTGTTTCTGGAGACTGAAGGCCAGAAATTCACTCTGGTGCATTAACATTTGACATCCTTCTCCTGAGCTCCCTAAAAAAGCTGCCAGCCAAAGCCTCACCCACCATTCTGCTCGTAATACTGTATTCTTTCCTTGCCTTTGCTCCCTTTCTGTTTCATGCTGAGATCAGGTTCCCTGTCTTCACCTTCCAGGCTCTGCATGGCTGTACTTGCATTCACATCTACCAGCCCCCATGCCCACTGATTCCTTTAATCTTCATCACCACCTGACTCTTTCTGCTTGTCCTGGCTCTGTCTTTCCTTGTTGCTTTCTGCAATACCCAACACCAAGAATACAAGGGCCAAAGCGATAGAGTGAAAATAGAGCGTGTGTTTTAGCAAACACATTTGGACTAACACAGTGATTAACAGTTACACTTTTAGTGTAACTAGGTAGAGCTTCATCCACAGATTTATCAGATATATTAAAGGCTAACCCTTAATTTGGGTAGGTTATTGTGACAGCCAGCACATTTCTGAAGTTTGCAACTCCCTACTTCCTGAATTACATCACAGTTAATATTGTGTTAATTCGTATTTTTCAAAAAGCTGTTGCTTTTCTCCAGTATAAAAATGTTGCTCTACCTCTCCTTTTTCAAACATCTCACTGAAATCCTTTGATTTAGCCTAAGATAAGCAATTTTCAACATTTTTGGCAAGAAATATGCACACATTTCCTGTTTTAGTGAAATTCTTATCAAAGTGTCATACTCACCACTTTCCCCAAGTAAAACACATATAAAGACAAGTTGTCCAGCCAGAAAACTTTACTCCCTCCTTTTGCCTATCTGAAGGAAACATGTATTGTGTCCCTTCTTTAATCTTTTACTGATGCAATAAAATCCCAGGACGTTTTGGGAGAGCAAAGTTGAAGAAAGATGTTTCACAACAAGGCTGCAAGGGATAAGATATGTGGTAACTCTTGCTGGAGTAGATTTTAGAGCAGTTTTAAAGGAGCTGCCAATGAGAACGCTATGTCACCTAATATAAACTTCAATTCCTGATGGAAAAATGATCCTGAGAAACAGAGGTCCAAGCGAACAA